CTACTTAGCCTACACACTGCCTTGGCAGTTATAATTTCATAAAGAGTAGGTGAACATGAAATGAAATGGGTTTAACGTCCTACTGTTCTGCTCCGAAATGGGCTAATGAAGACGGGCACACGCCATACAGTGTGCTATGAGGGAAATTTTGCCCGGACAGCGGCACTACGGTCTACTCTACTCTTATATCGAATTCCAACTGTCAGGGGATCTGTTACGTGCACGCCAAAGTGTACACGGTGCCTCGTTTTTTTTCCATCCTATCCGAACGACTAGACAGTTGTAGTTTTCAGGTCCTCCTGCATCAGTGAAAAGGGGGGACCACGCCGGAAAATCAGGATAAACTTTCTCGGCCAATGCAGGGATCGAACACCCGACCTCCAGGCTAGTGAGCCAGCGTCTAAACCAATTAGCCACCGTGATCCCCGTAGGTGAAAATGCCCATTGAATACGTAATCATTAAAATGTCCATACGTTAGTTTCAAAATAACCGAATTACTGTGTTCAGGTGACGTTAAACCCCAATCTATCCCAGTCTTCTCCACGGAAAATGTCTGGCTAATCGATTTATTTCATTCCTCAAATTTTGTTAGTTTTCCAATCACATTATGTAATTAAGTAATTAATTTGATTATGTAACAGTGACGTAATAACTGATACGCTTGTAAGAATTAGTGACGTAACGTGTTCTGGTTTATCACGTGTTCTAGTTTATCATGCGTTATATCGATCTAAATATAGACTTCATGTCACACCCTACCAAATGGTACCGATCATTATTTGCATTTATCCTGACAATAACAGCTGTGTAGTCGTTTGGATGGGATAAAAAAAAAGGAGCCATCGTCTACAAATTGCCGTCCACGTAAAATATCACATGGCAGTTGGAATTCGATATAAGAGTTGGCCATAGCACCGCTGTCCGGACAAAATTTCCCTCATAGCACACTGTATGACGTATGCCCGTCTTCATTGACATTAGCCCAGTTCGGAGCAGAACAGTAGGACGTTAAACTCCATTTCAAATTTCTTCTCTCTCTCTCCCTCTCTCTCTCTCTCCGTTGATCATATTCCACGATAACTCAGTTTATATTGTGACCCGAACTCAAAGGAACGGACGATACGTTAATATTATTTCTTGATTTGGTTAAAATTTAGAAAACTAAATGTTTTACACGTCATAAAATCCCCCCCCCCCTCTCTCCCTCGTACATTTGGGGACTTTAATCTATTCTAACCTTTATTCTGGCACGTTTCGGTTTTATGTGTGTGTCTATATTTAATACACTGACTTAACCCTGCTAATCCGTCCGGATTTATAATCTCATTATTTACACCCACAGATTTGATCTTTCATCTGGTGTTGACACAATACACGGGTGCAACGCTTCAATGTCAATATTTATATCAGGTTTTACTCAAGGTCAGACTTAACATATCACGACTTATATTTATAGTATACTAATATGCATATACTAAAACACATACTAATATGAAAAGCACTATGACGGTATATTAGATTCTAACATGCTATTGCCGAAGTGCTGTTTTCTAGGGGTTATAGCTTATTCATACACTAACGACGAAAACTCAGATAAATAGTTAAAATTGTACTTTTAATAAACGAGTGTCCAAAACTGGCTAACGGTCACAATAACGAGCCGGTCACCAGACTAAAGTTATCGTAGAATATGGAACATACAAGCTTAGGATTAAAATAATTATATAATAATATTTGACAAGAAATGTTAAATTGTACATAGGAAACATATGTTTAAATACAGCAGAAGATATGGACATAGCAAGAACTCGTGTTAACTATAATTACGCAATAGTACATGTATATCGTTACATTATGTGTAAACCCAAACAGTCTTTTAAAAAAGACTTGAAACATTAGTGAGATATCAATTTGGACATTGGTCAATTACTACCTTAACTAAACTTATATCATAAAATATATACAAAGATACACTATAACACTATCGTCTAATTTCTAACTTCTATTCATGTAATTTCTAAATTAAGACAATGTACAATCCAACTTCTTTATTTGTTCAGTGTAAATTTTAATTCTGTTTCATCTTATTTCTACTAATTTATTTGTGGAGCTTTTCGAAGAGGGTCTTGCAGGGGACAACGTATAGTATTTCGGATGGTACGTAAAACAGAGATCCAGTATACACATTGGCGTGTAGGTATTAAAGATCCCTCGATATATATACTAATGTCCAAAAGAAAATATACACACTAAAGAATGACTAAGTTTTGTTTAAATCAACAAAATGTGATAAAACTATACTGAACATGTCTCGTGTGTCCACACTCAATATTTCTAAGCAAATAAATGGCAAAACAAATGGACATTGTACCAAAATATCGCATACAATGGAAATACAACTTTGTTTGAAGCATGACGAAATGCACAGTGTATACTTAATTTCTTTTGGACATTAGTATAGTTGGAATTCGATATAAGAAAAAGGCAAAAGCACACTTTGTGACGTACACCCGTCTTCATTAGCTCAGGAGGACGTTAAAAATCATTTCATTTCGAGAGAGAGAGAGTAAGAGAGAGAGAGAGAGGGGTTTAACGTCCACTTGACACAAACTAAGTCATATTTCGGGACTAACATATGGTTTAATTTTATTTCAATAATTCACTTCCGCGTAGGGGTCTTTAGCAGTGGGAGGAAACCGGAGGACCCGGAGAAAACCCACGAGGTTGGACAGGCGACCCTACTCCTTGTCACGTACAACCGGGGATTCGAAACCACGCCAGTTGACCCAATGACAGCCTTATGATACAGCGCGAGCGTGCTAACCATTCGGCCACCCAACCTCCCATTTCATTTCGAAGATTGCTACTTTAACAATGATAGGGCGTGGATGTTTTTTTTTTATATAAACTAATAACAGTGATTGATAATCTTTGAGATTATAACACATGGAAAAACAACTACTTGACTGATGCTTCAAAGAGTATTCTATAAACGTTATCAATACACATTTATGGGGGAGAGAGAGAGAGAGAGAGAGAGGGAGAGAAAGAGAGATTGCATGGGTTTTACGTTTACATGTATTTGGAATATCTGACATTGAGCAATTTAATGACGTACAACACTAATAAACAGACAAGATTTCTAAGAAAAGAAGCGAAAGTATGAAATGCCAGCACGCTATGAATAATTGAATTACTGTTTATTAATAAGTAAACACGGCGAATATATTGATTGGTATATGTATGGGTTTGTTTACGTTTATTTGGAATATCTGATATTAGACAATTTAATGACGTAAAAATGTAAATAAACTGGGGAGACTTCTAAGAAAAAGAGGTGAAAGTATGAATAGCAGCAGATGGTGACAACAATGATATAATTGTTACCAATAATTAATACGGCACCCTATTTTTAAAACTAAAATTAAGACAGACATGACGATAGATTAACAAGACGCAAGTGAGAGAGAGAGAGAGAGAGGGGGGGGGGGCGTAACGTCCACTCGACATAAGGTTCAATTTTATATACATGTAATAGTTACCAATAATTAATAAGGCACCCTATTTTTAAAATTAAAATTAAGCCAGACATAGCGATCGATTAATAAGACGTACGTGATTAAACAAAGAGAGAGAGAGAGAGAGAGAGAGAGAGAGAGAGAGAGAGGAGGGGGGGGTAACGTCCACTCTACACAAACTAGGCTATTTCGAGACTGAACACATGGCTCAATTTTATTTCAATAATTCTCTTGCGCGTAGGGGTCTTTAGCAGTGGGAGGAAATCGAAAGACCCTGAGAAAACCCACGAGGTTGGACAGGCGACGCTACTCCTTGCCATATACAACCGGGAAATCGAAACCAGACCTTATGATACAGCGCGCACGTACTAACTATTGGGCTATCCAGTGCCCCCCCCCCCCCCCCACACACACACACATTTATGGAAAAACAGCTACTGATACACATTTTGAGGAAATTATATGGTTTCGTTACAGTGGTTATAATTCTGGGGCCTGTTTCACGAAATTTAAACTAAGAAAAAATCAAAATTTTAGTAATTTGATTGGATAATATTGGGTTGATTTTAGTGCTTAGCCAATCAATATTGAAGTATCTACTAAAAATTTGGATTTTATTTTTAGCTAAGATTTCGTGAAACAGGGCCCAGTCTGTATATCTTTGCCTCACACAATTTGTATTACTGTATAATTAGCTTGATAACGTTGAGAGAATAATCTTCGATACACCAGAAAAATAAATCAGTAGCTTTATAAATTAATATACATATTCATGTGTTAGTACGATGAAAGGATGGTGTGGTTGTCACAAATTATCCCGGCCTATATATATGCATCTCTACTTTAAAATAAGATAACAAAAGACGCGTTGATAAGGAACAAAACGTCGACTCAGTTTTTTAATAAGCTTAATCGTTTGCTACTTCATGCTGATAGACTTAAATAATGTAAATAATCTCTTATCAGCGTCCGGCTCATTCAGACGATTTCAAGTACACTCTAACCTGTTCTATATTATAGCGTGTGTTTATTCTATTCAGTCCTTGATAGCTTCCCATTGAATTTCCACTCAAGGAAATGGGGGTGTGGTTTTCACACGTCATGTGATCTGATTTATGAATGACTTTCTATATTTGGTCACCGATCCTTATTCTGACATCAGATCAAACGAGTCTCCGTGTATGAACTTTTAAATCTCTGAAAACGACTTTTAATACATTTTATAATTCAAATTAATCTTTTTTCGATATAGAAATTTATATTCGACGTCTCTTTATTGTCAAATAGCTAAAAACGTTTTGCAGAACTGCGGTGAATCGTTATGGAGTAAGAACTACTTTTTAAAGCGCAAGGATAAAACTACACATAACCAATAATCCAATCAGAAGCCATTATTTGAATCACATGGCTCGGATATCAGCCGTCACTTCATTCATTCACAAAGAAGTCACGTGGTTTAGGGTATAAGAGCGTAGCGTAACAGCAGGTTTGTAGTAAAAAGGTTAGAACTGTTTATAACAAAACAGATCACACAGCGAATTGTCCAGAATGCTAAACATGGAAAACAATGGCGTCAGTGTCGAGTTTGTCGCCAACATAATCAAACAGAACGGACCAGAGCACGTCTTAATTTTGGATTCAAGACCATTTATGAGATTCAACGAAGGGCATTTGCCAGAAGCCACGAATATCCACTGTCCACCGATTTTAAAGCGGCGGTCGAATGGCTTCATCCCCTTGGTGAACATCGTGCCTTGTGAAGCTAAGAGGAATAAATTAGTCGATGGGAAATATAAGTTAGTTATTGTGTATGATGATGACACGAGTGAGCTAAGTTTGGCTAAGAAGGACTCAAACTTGTTTTCAGTATTGGACAGTATGACGCAGCAAGTGAGCGTGCCGCGCCTGTACTACATCACAGGTTAGTACTCACAACTTTATTTCTATAATTTTGAGGTTTGCATACAATAGTAGGCCGACGACAAATGAACTCTTTAATTTTTTAAGTAGAGGTGTTATGAAGTATTTCTGTAATTTTTAGATTCACGTACAATAGAACGACAAAAATGAACCCTTTAATTTAGCGAGAAATGTTATGAGGTGGTCTTTATTTCTATAATTTTGAGGTTCACTGACGGGAGTACGACAAAAACGAACCATTTAATTTAGCGAGAAATGTTATGAGTTGGTCTTTATTTCTATAATTTTGAGATTCCCATATAGTACGACAAAAATGAATTATTTCATTTTACGAGAAGTAGTTTGAGATGATCATTATTTCTATAATTTTGAGGTTCACGAAAAAAAGGAATTATTTAATTTTACGAGAAGTAGGCCTTGTAGGAGATGGTCTTCATTTCTATAATTTTGATTTCTATAATTTTGAAGTTCACAAAAGTGAATAATTTAATTTTACAAAAGTGGTATGAGGATAATTTTGACGTTCACATACAATAATACGATAAATGAACTCTTTAATTTAACGCGGAGTGGTATCAGATGTTATAGAAATTGTAGCAGTTTGATTCCTGTGATATAAACAAAGATTGTGTTTTTTTGAAACATGTTTTAGTAAAATCCGTCATTTTCTTGCACTCCTAAAATGAATTATACTATGATGGTATTTGTAGATGGAGTTGTACCAATGTTGACCGAGAAAGTTCCTCGAGCTTTCCGCCATGCCCCCACTCCTACAGTAGAACAGGGTGAAGGCCTTGGCGTGGACAGTGTCTAGTCGTTCGGGTAGGACGAAAACCCGTGGCCCTGTGCACATTTTGGCGGGGCATACACGTAAAATAACCCTTGATAGCTGGAATTCAATTGCTTTTGGGGAAAATTTTCTCTCATAGCCATAGCATAGTACATGGACATTGTATGTCCGGCTTCATAAACCCGGTTGGTGCAGAAAGTAGGACGTTAAACCCCATTTCATTTCGTTCAAAGAAGTATTTGGCGGATTTTCTCCGAAAATTGTGTTTTTATTTCTTTATAACCCCCCCCCCCCCATCATTACCGATGAATAATCACCAGTCTACGTTACTTACTTCTCTGTCGAGCTTTTATTCTTACAGTCATTCCCTTGCCAAGCAATGCTTAAACACATATGGTAAAATTATATGGCGATTTATTATTAAAAATATGTATTTCGCATTCATTTTGTTAGAAATATCTTTGAACAGTAGGACGTTAAACTACCTTTTCATTTCATAGAAAAATATTTGGCTCGTTTATTTTGGGATAATTATGAATTTGAATAAATTATTGATCCGATCTGAAAGACCACAAAGCACCAGTGTTAATTAATTCATTTTAAAGCAAACGCGTGGTATTTTTTTAGCGCCAAATTATCAACTTTCCTTATGAATGATTTATATCCAAATGTGGGTGGCGTTGATCAATTCATACACATGTATCTCGCGTGAAATTGTTCGATCGAGTGAATCTGCATTTTTATTCAATGAACTGCCCCCAACGCCCTTCCACGTGTCGACGCCTGCGTTACACCACATCAATTGGTACTTGTATTTCAGGCCTCGTGTTCAGACATAAGAATTTACTCAACTTTCAGTCACTGTTCATGAGAAATATCTTTGATCGAGAAACACAGAATTTTGCACAGTTTCTAAGATAGATGTATTTGATACATTAAAACAGAATAGGCCCTATCCTTAACTTATTTCTCAGAATGCTTTACGAACCCGGGGCCTGTTCTTCGTGAGAAAAATAATTTAAAAACAAATAATTCTTCTTCTCAAAAGGTCTAAGTATTTATTTGTAAGTCCCAAAGAATAAAAATTGAATTGGTTTAGTTTTAAACTCCATTTCGTTTTCATATGGCGACTTCTCGTCAAATTGTGGGATATCGGGAGTAAATATGTTTGTTTTTTTAAGAAATCGCAAAGTTGACATGGTATCAGTGTTGGGGGTTTTATTAAAACGATTTCGTCATGGAATATTTAATATTTAAATATCAAGCATTTAGTCAGTGACATGTATAAGATCAGGGTTGTTTTTTTTTTAAATTTCTTTTTATATCTATTTGAAAATCACATTAAACGCCAACTGATATTGGTCGCCTCGCGTGTTTTTTTTTCTTTTTGAATGGGAAATTGTTATAATATTCGCGGACCATGCCTGTATTTAAATACATGAATAGATTCAATTATATTATCTTCAAGTCGTTAACACTTAGTTCTTTGTGTACTATTTAAATAGCCAACTGGGTGATAAAACCTTTGAATTGTGCATACATTGCAGTATGACGTACATGTAGCCTACGCATTTTGAAATGAAATGGGGTTTAACGTCCTACTATTCTGCACCAACCGGGATAATGAAGACAGCCATACTCCATACAGTGTGTTGTGGGGGATATTTTGCCTTGATCTAAATACTTATCTCTGTATAAATCCTTGATTTGGTATTAATTTGTTTTGTTTGTTTGTTTTGTATTTTTTTTTTTGGGGGGGGGGGGGGAGCCAGAGTTTATAATATTAAGAGGGCCCCCATATTAGTTCTAAAATATAAATATGCTGTAAATTATTTAGCCACGTGAAACTTGTATATTTGTCATATACATATAACTCTCTACCATACTGACATACAAATCGCATTTACATGTATGCGAGTTTGGTTGGCAAAGACTATATACAAGGACCCTGGTTACATTTTCAGCCAGTGTCCCCACGCAAGTTTAACCCGACCCTGGGTAAATAGTATATATTACATAATGACCGTCAAGAATTCACTTTACCAGAAAAGCACCTGGTTAATTTTGTTGAACTGAGGGGAAGTGGAAATTAAATTATAACAGCCATTAATATAATTAATACTTCCGGTCATCTATGAAACCCTACACCCTGAACGTCCGTTAATGGTGTGAGGAGTGGGATTAAATTACAGTAAGTCCAGGATATCCAGCTGTTTCAGGTTATTTTACACGGGATGTGCACATGCACGTGTTTGTAATTAACATCTTCAAATCCTGCATGGCGTAATCTTTGTCTTGATAAAGAGGCATTGGGTGGCCGAATGGTTTAAATCGTGCGTTTTAAATAATACGGCCTGACATTGAGTCGACAAGTGGCGTGATTTAATCGATTCCCCGCTTGTACGTGACAAGGGATGTGATCAATTGTCCAACCTCGTGGTTTTTCTCCGGTACCTCCGCTTTCCTCCCGCAGCTAAAGACCCCTACACACAAGCAAATTAATGAAATGATATTGAACCGTGTGTTAGTCACGACATGACCTAGTTTGTGTCGAATGGACGTTAAGCCCCATTTAGTTCTTTTTTTCCCTATTGATAGTGTGACTTGGTCATCATGACCTGTCATACATTAATCCATTTCCACTAATACGAAACTAGGAAGAAATCATGACCACGATTTATGCCACCCATTAAAGCCGCTTTGTCAATCCAAACACTTCATGATTTTTCGTCGATGTAAATCGGCTTACGAGGAGGTTATCCTACGAAGCGAACAATTTTAAGCTGAAGGTGGGCGGTGAAACGGATTACCGACTTTGGTTAATCGGTTTATAATATTGTCTACAGGACAGATGCTTTGTTAATTTCGGTTCACGGTATTAGATCAATAGCCCAAAATTGATTAAATCTGTTCCATCAGTAACAATAGCGAAACCCAGATTCCAAGATCTGTTTCATCAGTTAACAATAGCGAAACCCAGATTCCAAGATCAATCGGGAGCCACGGTGGCTCAGGGAGTAGGATGTTAGCTCGCTAACCTGGAGATCCCGTGTTCCATCCCGGTGTTGGCCGGGAAAATTCGTCGGTGTTTTTTTTCTGGCGTGCCCCCCCCCCTCCTTGTTTGTGGTATTGAAGTCGCTATGTTGAATTATTTCTAAAGTATTCTTAAACAGGCGTCTTTCTTTAAGCCTTAAATGTTATATAAATTATTAATTAGACATACATGTAATCAACTCTCGATGCCATCGTATACTGTAGATTTTCAATAGATTTAAATACGAATTGTGGTTGATGATTTAACGTAAAAGTGGATAATCGGGACTTTATTATCTTAACAACGGTAACAAAGATAATCGGCTCAGAGTAAAGTAATTTGACTGAAATTTTCAGCCTATTTTCTTTACGTTATCTATTTTTTAACTATTATAACGAGAACTCAATGTCTCTTTAAATGTCTCCAGAATAACGCATTAATCATAATTAAGCGTCTTCATTAGCACAGTTGGTGCAGAGAAGGATGATAAACCCCATTTCATCTCAGTAATTGTGAACTTAGTATAGAAAATTAATTTTATCATTAAATTCCTGGTAACAATATAGCTTTTCATTACATGTATGGAGTTAATTTGAACTTTGTGCATTCAACCATTTGGGTCGGCGAACCCACAAACCAACTATCTTTTATTTACATGTACACCCTGTGAACCATCATTTATGTGTAGGCTTTTTGAGTGTTTCGTCCATCCATTGTTTCTTGAACTAAAGAGATATCAGCCATATGCTTATTGGGCGTGCCGTCGATCCATTGTTTTTGAAATCTACGAGTATATATTCCCCATTCACGCGCTTCATATAACATAACGTCGTGATTTAGTTCGTCTATTGTAGAGAATTTTTCATTCATAAAATATATTCATATAAAAAATAGAGAGTTTGGTCGTTTTTCTATTGTTAGGAATTTTTCATTCATAAAATATATTCATACATAAAATATATTCATACATATACATGTATATAAAAAGAGTCATGTCGATTTCTTTAAGAAGGATTACCATAAATATACACACGTGTTATTTTAGAGTTGTTTAAGACAGGATACAAGAACAACAACTGCTTGTATAACAAGGTTGTTTTTGGGCATGCGTAGGTTTGTTATACATGTATACATGTACGTAATAAGAACAATAGCGCGTGATGATAAATGAAATAAACACACATCTAGGAAAAAAGAATCTTCAATAATTTCCATTAAAAAAAAAATTCAGCCAAGTTTGGAAAAGTGAAATGTTAAGGCTAAACACGTTCTTACTTTTTGTTTTCCCTCCTACACTTTCTTAAAACAATTTCTTATCCATTGTTCACCTTGACTGACATGAAAAGAATGGGGTTCTGCTTCGACTCTACTGATGACTGCGGGTAATGATGATCGAGGCTAGGCTAAAATTTCAATCGCTTAATTCGCAGTTCATAGTGGATCAATCTGACTGAAATTTTCAGCAAATTGCCATTACATTATCTAGATTGTAACTATTATAATGAGAACTGTCAGCTCTTTATCTAATCTCCCATAATATATCTTTAAACGTTGAACTCCATTCCATTTCCTATCATTTTAAAAGAATATTGACAATCATTCAGCGCCACTTTAACCCCCATTCTCCCCCTCATTTCATTAAAAGAAATGTTAAAAATTATTCAGCGACCCTTTATCCTCCATCCAGTATTTCATTAAAACGTTATTATTTCCCATACCACTCCCCATGACTTTTTAATAAAATGCTGGAAATCAGTCAGCGCCACTTTAAACCTCCATCCTCCCCCGCGTGTCTTTGAAGGGTGATTTTTGTTTCTAATTTCAATCTCATTATGGTTGTCATTGACAAAAGCTTTTCTATGACTAAGCTTCTCTCTCTACACCCTAGAAATATCGATTGTTTTCACGAGATTCATTCATTAAAATCGCGTGCTGTTTATCAATGGAACACATCATCAATGAAATGACATCATCGATTTGGTAGTAAAATGAACAACTACATAGTATTCATCATGTAAATTCATGAATAAAGAAGGGATTGGATGAAAAGTAGAATAAACTTGCCCTGCCTCGTACGTGACGCAAATAACTATTTCTTCGGATAGAACGAAAACCTTGGGTCCCAGATATGCATCTCATTGGATTGTACGTAAAGAACCCTTGACATTTAATATTCGAAGTTGTCCAGGCGGTTCAGAAAGGAAAACCTTATTAAGCTGCATGTTTCACCAAGTTGATACAAGTAATTTAGTTTCCGTTCCTTAACCTGTCGGTAATCCCAGGACGTACAGTTGTACCCCTGCGGATTGTGATCTTGTTCGTATGGTCTAGTTAATAAACCTCTCTCTCTCTCTCTATCTCTCTCTCTCTCTCGATACACGACATTAACGAACCGACAATTTCTCAAAACTACACGGCGGTCAATTAAATGATGGTTTGTCGGTTGATATGTCATCGCTAGTTCATTACACTAATGATATTCGAACTCATCGAGCCAACAATTTCCTGAAATAACATGTAAATATAGTATTGCAGATTTAGATCTGTAGATCTCATTACACTAATTGTACATCTGACTAGATTAAAATACTATCGACGTTTTCTCATCAAGACGTTTTAGTATCCTACGGGCGTGGTTGTAGATAAAAATACATCTTATTGCCCAGTTTCACCCTTATGGATCTGGAGTAAATGACATACGTGTATGAATGATTATTTTAGTTCGCAGGGCGGTTCGATTACCGATTGGCTTAAATAGTGCGCTTTGTATCATATGGCCTGTAATTGAGGCGTGGTTTCGACCGCAGCACGTGTATGTTAGTTAGGCCACAGTTTCATCTCGTGGGTTTTCTCCGCATCCGGGGTAAGCGAATTATTGAAATAAAATCGAACCATATATTAGTCCCGAAATGACCAAGCTTGTGTCGCGTGGACGTTAAAGACTAGTTTCCTCCGAGGTCCGCACAGACACGAACTACGTCGATGTCGTTAAAAGGGAGCTTTCTGCCAGGTCCGCGTTATAACAACCATGTGTTATTGATGAATGTTGGGTGTAATAAAGTCCTAGAAATAAAACTGATGTCTTTGAAGGGAGCTTTCTTCCAGGTCCGCATTATAACAAACACAGGTTTATTAATGAACGTTGGGTGTTATAAAGTTATTGTGTGATATTGATTTGCGTGGGTGTCGGATACATGGGCAATAAATTTTATGTTTTTCCAATATACCGTTCTGTACACAGGCTGGATGAAACGAAATGTAATGCATTTTATCGTTCTGCTTACTGCTTCGACCGTTAGGTACACGTGTTTGACGGTTTATAAAACCGAAACGAAATATTTCCTAATGAATAAATATTATATTTTGACAGTTGAGCATAGTTAACAATACAGTACACGAACTCTAATTAATATGGGCATCATTTTTTTTTTAAATTTAATTTCAAAATTTCAAACATAATGCATTTATAAAATATACAATAATATACACTTTCTCCGAGGTCGGCGTTAAAAAATATTGTATAAGCAATCTGTATACACAGTGGAGTTATTGATATTCTTTTACTCCCACGCGCATATTCCCGCCATGCACTGATATCTCATTGATAATATTTTATACATGGGGGCTATTGATTAACTTACACGAGCGCTAAACCATCTTCCATCTTTTCTTTCAATGAAAGGACGACCTAATTCATTTAATATGTTTTACTACAAAAACAAATAACTTAATAATCTATCTTTTTCATTAAACTCTCGACTTCCTGTTAGACCTGGGGTTTTTTTTTGTCTCTTCTAAAAATAATGAATGAATCAGCAAGAATTGTTTAAAAACGCCGTTTTCCTTACATATATGTATATAAAACAGGCTCAAGTGATTTCCGCGTGGTGTTTTAATAATGACATCATGAAATGAAATGGGGTTCAACGTCCTAATTTTATGCACTAACCGCGCCAGTGAAGGCAGACATCTTCCATGCCTTCAGCTACATGGAGAATTCCAAATATCATCTGAAAAGAACCCTTGGTATTTGAATTCGATGAACGGGAGGCGCACACTCCGCTGTCCGGGTAACAGTGCGCTCGCAGCTGTCCGGGTAAAAATTGGCCTTCCTGTTGTCCGGGTAAACGTGACTTCGCCGATGTCCGGATAAAAGTGGCCTCGCCGCGACGAGTAAAATCTCCTCGCAGCACACTGCATGGCGAATACACGTTTTCATTATCCCGCGCGCGGTTGTTGCAGAAAAATAGGACGTTAATTAGCCTCGTTTCGTTTTGTTGGTTTTTTTTATTATCGAAAACCGAGGCTATAGATATTTATTTTATTAGTATAACCATTAACCTCTATATTTCAGGTGGTTATGAAAAGTTCCATGAATGTTATCCACAACTTTGTATAGCTCAACAAATTCTACTACCGTCCTTCTTATTGTCCTTACCAAGCCCCGTTGTTTTACCTTCACCTCGTCGAGAAGCTAGGGTAAGTTTTATACTCGTTTTACTTTCATTTTAATTATGGTACTGGAAAGTGTTACGGGGTTTTGTTCGGGTGGTCATAAGAACTGTCATTTAGTCATGTGTTGTGGTTTCGATTAACCGCTTATACGTGACAATGGGTATAGAACCCTACCACAAGCGAACTAATGAAAAATGTCAGTTCTCAACTGACCTAATTTACATGTATATCCCTCTTTCTCAATCTTAAATGACATAGTTTATATCATGGACCTTATAATACATGTATTATAAGGTCCATGGTTTATATTATATATCTCTTTCGCGCTCTGAAATGACATGGAATATGTTTCTCGCTCTCAAATGACCTAATTTATGTCTATTTCTCCCTCTGAAAAGTATTTAATCGCTCGAATGAGACAAAAAAACAAAATGGCCCAAGTAAAGGTGTTGTCTGATAACAGCAAAGTTTGCTTTTAAGTTTAAATTTCTTGCAGTGGCTCATTGGGTTATACGATGTCATTCGAACTAAGAGTAAATTTAACCGTAGCGCTGCTATCCGAACAAAATTTATCGGCAAGTTCACTACATGGCTGATACCCGACTTCGACTTCATTAGCCCTGTTGGCGCAGGGAAACGGGATGTTACACTGCATTTCATTTCATTTATTACAAACCAGGTACCGGATAAATGTCATTTCCTGCTTTTGAAAATATATCGACTATTCTGTGTGATAGTTACGATGAAGTGATGTATGTATATTACCGGTCATTTTTAGCATATATTCCCGATCATTATACATGTACTATAATTACCGTGAGGTATATATACTTCCGGAACATATACAATGTATCTGCACGTACCACCCACGCGTTAATTAATTCATGTATGTCCTGTCAGCATTTACATAGATGGAACGATAGTCCGGGGATCACTGCACTGATAAAATAAATGAGTTCTTTTGTGCGAGACAGATCACAGCGATCTTCATAGAGAATTATCAGCGGGAAATTTACGTCTGACCACGATAGGAATACATTCATTAGTTTTATCCCAGTGGGCCGTGCCTTATGCGTAAGCGTAACTTATGATATCCTTATATTCTGAATACAAGAATGAAAATTTAAATGATCTCGATTGAAATTTATTTTGGTTTTGGGGTCCAATTCGGTTTGAAATTTCGTTTCGGTTTGTTTTATAATTCGATTGAAAATTCGTTTCGGTTCGTTTTATTCGATTGAGATTTCTTTTCCGTTTTGTTTTATGTAATTCGACTGAAATTTCGTTTCGTTTTCTTTTTTTTTTTTTTTTTTGGAATAATTTATTTTGAAACTGAATCAAACATCAAATGAACAGAAGAGTTGAGGGCTAATTTTAAAATTTTAGCATGACAGACGTCCGTGTACGTTCAATTAGCTAACATGTGTTACGCATCATAATATTTCATTATTAGGAACACATGTTTAAAAATTTTCAACAACATATTACTATATACGACTGTAATAAGACAACCGACAAGCTGTCAATCTAAAAAAAAAAAGGGGGAATCTGAAACAATTACTTCATTCATATGTCATTGTATATCCGGTAAAACTGGGATATGTCAATCAAGGTGTTATGGCGGGAATAGTTGTTATTCATGTTGGCGCACTTATTGCATTGATAGACTTATCACATCCTTTGATCCAGTGCTTTAACGGGTGTGAAGGGGTGCGTAGTGATTAACACCTGCATGTACATGTATAAGAAACGGAAAACTATTCATTATTTTTACACCTTGACGTTTCCGTGGCTGCTGGCAGTTATAGGATGTAGCGTACACGCAGAACACGCGTGATCTGAGTTGTCATCCGTTTTCCCGCGGATTTCTTTTATGTTTCTTGACAATAAATAATGTGATATTTAGAACATACATACATGTATGCATATAAAACTGGCGTTATGAACAATTGACAATGTGTGCTCTGTTACCGATATTGATGGATTGGTCTTTACTGCGCAAGGATCTGAAAGAGTTTTTATATAACTTGCGTTCTTGTTGATATGAGGGATAAGCCAATGAAATGGTCTGTTGTGACGACTTCTTGGCGTGCAGTACACGGAATTGTAGCACTCGGCAAACCTCGGCAGATTCCGGTATCCTACATCTAGGGTACTGGAATCTGTTGAGGTTTGCCGAGTGGGAATTGTAGGTGTCCCATTTGAAACATCAACGCTGATTGATTAATCAAGTGTCTGACGTCGTAGGATCAAAACTCCTCTCGTTTGACCCAGGCGTGACTTACCACTACACAACCGGTCATCGAAATTATAATAAACGAAACAATGTATAGATTTGTATTATAACCAGATTGCCCCCATATCATGCCATTACACTCATAACCCCCCAAAAATAATTCATTTTTATTAAATTTCAGAATGAACCAGCGGAGATATTCCCTAATGTATATTTGGGTGATTCAGGCCACGCCTCCCAGAAGGAAATGTTAAAACGGATTGGTTTTACTGCTATACTCAACGTTTCGTCCAATTGTGTCAACCATTTCCCTGCGGATTTTGAATACATGACAATAAGAGTATGTGACAACTCGACCGCCGACTTGTCTTCATGGTTTGATGCAGCTTTTAACTTTATGGGTGAGTTGACTCTTTATTAAAAAATAAGTTGGTGACGAAGAAGAAAGGGGCGGGGTTTAACGTCATCTCAACACAATGCAGTTGTTTCGGGACTAACATTCTTGAGGTGAATTTTGTATTTTGCCTTAAGCGATTCTTATTTAATGTGGGCTAATGATCTAATCTATGCACTTTAGATCGTAAGGTCTGTCACTGAGTCAAGTGGTGTGGTCTAGATTCCCAGCTTGTACTTGACAATTGGCCCCTCTCTCTCTCTCTCTGTGTCTCTCTCTCTACCTGTGTGTAGGCCCATCAAATCTAATAACACGCATTTTTATGAAATACGCACATTCTATGATAAAGAATTATAAAATGTAGTAATTCTGGGGAAAAAGGGATGGTAATATTCAGTGAATTTCGACTAGACACTAGGAAGGGACCGTCCTTTATCTCTTTACGTCTCGCGAGCCTAATGATTGTGTCAAGACGTTCTGATACACGATAGACAGGTATAAGATTTTTTCTTGTATAAACATCCACTCGAGCATTTCCCTAGGTTCTCCGGTTTCCTGCCACAGCTAATGAACCATACCCCGCCCCCACCCGCCCACCCTCTCTCTCTCGAAGTACATACATTATACTAGAGCATATGAAGTATTTAACGTCCGCTTCCATCGGGGTTATATCGTCGATAATAGCCTATTGGACCTATTGATTAAATTATAAAAAAACAATAAAACCACTTTAACCAGTAATATACATAATGGAACGATTTACTCAAAGCTGTACTAAACAACAGGGATGGTCTTATTGATGGTTGGTTTTTATTAGACAATTAACATTTTCACAATCAGTACAATTAAGCTTATGATAAGGGAGGTAGGATTTCCGGATAATACGTCACGGAGTTCGACGTATAACGGAAGTGATGTCGAGAAGGGGAAACGTTATCATTGGGGTGGGAGAGCAAAAGGTTTGGCTATTAATTAAACAATCCAGAACAGCACAGCTAACGGTAAAACAAACAGTAAAGAAATACAGCACAAACACTTAGTAAATGAAACAATACTGTACGTCAAAGTTTTGCTGGAGATAGTGAAGTGACAATATCAGTCAGTACACACAATCCCCCGCCACCCGTCCCTTGTTTAGGACGCCATTTTATTAAATTATTTTTCGAGCAGCACCCAGCCTCCTTCTTTATGACGTCATTTTATTAGGTGGTTTTCGTGTGGGGGGTAAACAGCCATTAAATCTGCAATAAAACAGTATTGATCATTATGGAAGTCCCAGGGGAAACCCACGAGGTTTGACAGACAAAAACAATATCTATTTAATAAAACAGTATTTATCAATAAAGAAACAGATTGGGTTTTACGTCCACTCAAAACAGACTAGGGACTAACATTTAAATAATTCGCTTTGCAATGGGGTGACCCAGTTTTGTCAGATGAAAACAATATCAATTCAAAAAAACCCCAAACAATTATGACGATAATCACTGCCAAGAAATGTGGGTGTATAGGATGGCATTGCCACGTGTCACGACACCACTGAACCCCTTTATGTCGTCACACCCACGTGTTGAAACTAGCTTTCTCTAATTCTACCGCGCATTTAAAGGTCATTCAAGTCGTAATCTGACATGAAACAGAGATGAGGAGGCGAGGTGTCATTAAGTTGTCGGTTTAAACACACGCAGTTAACTGTACTAATATTTGTAACTGTCTGTTCAGGGTTGGCGGCTACACTAGGGCTGTCCCGAGGAGCTCGTACCTGGGAGTAAACATGGGCCTGGTTGTAGTCCATCGCCACTAGGCCTATATTACTTCCCAGTCCTAGTGTAGCCTCATTGAGTCATCTGGCGTGGTTTCGAATCCCCGGTTGTACGTGACAAGGAGTAGGGTCGCCTGTCCAACCTCGTGGGTTTTCTCCGGGTCCTCAGGTTTCCTCCCACTGCTAAAGACCCCTACGCGCAAGCGAATTATTGAAATAAAATTAAACCATATGTTAGTCCCGAAATGACCTAGTTTGTGTCGAGTGGACGTTAAACCCCATTTCTCTCTCTCTCTTTCCCTAGTGTTGCCGCCAACCCTGAACAGATAGTTACAAATATTAGTATAGATTTATCAGCATAGTTATATTATTAGTAAATTATTGAAAGTTTTACTTATGATTTTTACTTTTGTCTCTTTTCAGATTCCATCACAGAGAATGATGGTAAAGTTTTAGTCCATTGTCATGCCGGTGTTAGCCGATCTGTTACCATTTGTCTGGCTTACCTCATGTTTAAAAGTCATCTTAGTCTCGACCTAGCTTACGAGCATGTTAGAGATCGAAGAAGCATCATCGACCCCAACTTGAACTTTATGCAGCAGTTGAGACGATACGAGAGTGAACTACGGGTGGCTCATTCCTTGAAGGGCTGTTCTCAAGCTGAACGGAGCTTCACTTCACCCGGAACACCTAATACCAACACCAAAAGAACCTTCAGTTTCCCAACACCGAATTTTAAACTCACGGTTACGAATGCCAACACGCCTCTAGTTTCACCAAGCTAACGATACGATGGGTACGATTTGGTTGATAATTTGAGGTCCAGTTTGTACCTTTTGTTGTCCTATATCAGGGTACATTCCACTTCCTGTTTTCTCACGTGATTTCATTCCAGAGCGCGTGCCGTGGGTGAGAAGTGAGGAGTTTGCAGGTGCGCTCTGACATCTATTTCCGGTATATCTACATTTTGATATACAGTTTGAGGTTGTGCCAAATGTTTGATGCCATGAACTGTTAAAACTTTATGGGAGTTTTTGTTTTCTTTAATAACCAAGAGGTTAGGTTGTGGACCAGGAGGACAAGGTGATACCCGGTCATACCTGATTGAGCCTAGTCAACGAAGATGATCTATGAATTTAAAAAAACAATCACCCCTTTTTATGGAACAAAAACCATTTAAAAGTACAACAACAACAAAAAAAAATTAGATGTTTGAGAATTGTGATTCAACATAGCATTTATGGGGTGCTAAGATGAATTTCTAGTTTGTTTGTATATAGTTTAGATTATTTATTGTGTATAAAATTTTAATTAATTAAGAGTTTGTTTAAATCTGATCCTCTTTAATAATTGTACACGTCATAATTTCTATTTATATGTCTAATTATTAGAACTATTATTTGTTTATAATTCAACGTCATGGGATAGCGTTGTAAATTCTCAACGTTCAGTGCTGAAGAATGACGTCATGATTTATTACTTCGTTTATTCGTTATTTCAGCGTCATAGGGTAGGATTTTACGTTATTAAATTTTAGCGTTGATGTCGGGCAATGAAATTTAGTGCTTATTTGAAAGTTATTATATTTATTTTTCTTTGCATCTCGGTGCCAATACGTAGCATAAATATAATATATAGATGTATTCCAATGTTCAGAACAACGTAACACGTAGCTATTTGAAAATTTTGTAAGTCGAATTGACGTTTAAAAGTAGCGAAGTCTCGATCCGGGGGTCATTAAATGTATATTACGGGTTTTATATTTGACAACCATGTTTTACTGTTAAATAGAATTTACGAAAGCATAATAATTATTGTCACCTTGGTTACCTCGTGGGGAATTACAATTTTCATGTAAATATAGGATCCAGTCAGAAGCAGATTTACAGACAGGAGGGTAGATCTAACTATTAAGACCACCTGCAGATTTCGTCAAGGTCACGATATGTAAGCAGGGTTAGGGCACGTGAATGTTGCAAGGATTGTGGATTAGGACTTTGGTTAGGGTTGGAGTTAGTGCTAGCGCCCTGTTTATATACTGGATACTGAAACACGCCAATATTTCTGTAAATTTGGGGCCCACCTTTGAGTTTGGCCTAGATCCCCCACATCACCCACAAGTTGGTAAATCAAACCCTTCACGGAGCAGTGGAGGCTTACGGTCAATACCCAGTTCATTCACTTTAGTGGAGCCTGTATAACTACATCCCCGGGACTGCATGTTTACGGTCCAAGGCCCACAATTAGATACTTTGTAAATCGGTTCCTGGATTGAGTTATTGGTTTTATAATGAATAAAGAATCTATGCATAATTAATTTGTAATTAAAACAATGATCTTTGTACAATAGCTGATGGTTTATTCGATGGGATTTTTATATCCCAAGAAATTTGTTATCTTTAATAAAATAGTGACTTTTTTTGTCCAGTAACGAAACATTGGATTATCCAGACCTGTATTTCACCCGATTAATTTCACTATACATGTATATCCATTTTATTTGTTTGTTTCACAGAAATGCCTTCAATTTTTCTCTCATTCGCCTCGACGTTCAAATTCCCTTTATCTTAAAAATTGCGAGATTCATACACGCAGTTTCCACAAAACACAGTCTGTGTGCTCAATTCATTTTCAATTGATTTAAAATTAATGCATTTGAGAACTTAATCACAAGTGAGTCGATGTTGGAAAGAAAAAAAAAATGTTTAATTATCAAAAAAAAAAAAAAATGTTATTTGAATTAAATTCTAGTCTGGATGAATGTAACAACAATCATCGAATTCTACACCATTTTGTCTCAACGGAAGATTCTGTTTGTGTGATAGGAGTGAAATGTACGTCCATTGAAAACGAACACGTGAATAAATGTTGCTCAATTATATATCTGTGTTTGTAAATATTATTCACCTTTTTCTACTTTTTCAATTTTCAAATTTTTTGTTAATAATCAATTTTCATATACATACATTGATCTAATTGTGTCATTTTCGAATGTCAATGTTTTTGGAGTTTTTTGTGCCTGTACCGTTTGGATGATTTTGTTTGTCATCTTCGCCAACCAGATTGTTATTTTGTGGCTGTAGGCTTAGGATGATTTTGTATGCGTCGTGTGTATAAATGTCATCTTTAGCGAAAAGATTGTTTATTTTGTGTGATAAGGAAGTCCATTAATTTGTTTGTATGTAGTTAATTTATAATTAGAATGTATATAAATATAATTTATGTTTATGAATTATTATTTGTTCATACTATAAAAGGGTTGTTATTTCAAATATCCATATTTTTGCAACAATAATAAACACTTTATGCATTGTATCTATTAGTGTTTTAATTTTTTTATAAGCCCCCGTGGGGGGTGGCCGAATGGTTAGCATGTGCGTGCTGTATCATACGCCCTGTCATACAGTCAACTGGCGTGGTTTCCAATCCCCGGTTGTACGGGTCAAGGAGTAGGGTCGCCTGTGCAACCTCGTGGGTTTTCTCAGGGTCCTCCGGTTTCCCCCCACTGCTAAAGACCCCTACGCGCAAGCGAATTATTCAAATAAAATTAAACCATATCTTATTCCCGAAATGACCTAGTTTGTGTCGAGTGGACGTTAAACCCCATTTCCCTCTCTCTCTCTATAAGCCCCCGTGTTAGCAAAGTTATTGCCCTTGTACAATAGAATCAAAGACTGACGGTCCACCGGAAGCCATGGGAACATATGATCCAAGAAGCCCTTGGGTTAAATAAGAAGATTCGGTTCCGCTATCAGACTAACCATATCAACGGATTGGGTTCTGTTCCACTGTTCTATTCTGGCGGGGGGGGGGGGGGCGAATGGTTAGTACGTGCGCGCTGTATCATAAGGTCTATCATTGAGTCAACTGGCGTGGTTTCGATTCCCCGTTTGTACGTGATAAGAAGTAGGGTCGCCACTCTCCGATACCAATGTCTCGACTGGTCTGCCGTAAATAAACTTTGACTTCTGCGTCTTTTCCGCTTGATGGATTTCTACGAAATTTGGAAGGTATGGGGTTTAACGTCCTACTTTTTTTTTTAATTAAAGGGTTGAATTACACAGGGGCAGTGCAGGACAGGGACACTTCAGGCCGGGTGGGGTTAACTTAATCTATGAAATTCGTTGAAGAAGTTTGATAGAAACTTGCAAGAATGATTCCCACAGGCAAACACAGATTGTGGACCACATAGTGCAGTGAAAGGGACAGTGTCGAGTCGTTGGGATGGAATAGAAAATCTAGGTTCTGAATACACGTTGGCGGGCTCGAAAGAAAACCATGATAGTTGGAATTGGATTTAGAGTAAGCAGAAGAGCCGCTGTTGGGTAAAAGTTCTCGTAAGCACACTTCATACTATGATGCTGTTGGTCAGTGTATCCATAGGCCACGGGGGAGACACTCTCTCTCTCTCTTTCTCTCTCTCTCTCTCTCTCTCTCATATTTCGACAGGGCAAAATGTCCTCATACATGTAGTACCCTAGCTCTCCTCCAGATAACAACAGATAAATATCACCATAATCTATATTTATCACTATAATACTTGAATAGAGATATAGGATTGTCGAGAATATTTATCTTAATAATAAGGCCCCCAGGGCACGTGACATATTGTATATACATCTATAAAATATCTCTGTATACGGTCCTGATACCAAACTCGTCTGTTAATCGCTTCATTTGTTTTCTTTAAATCTTAAAGTAACACTATCGCCGTTAGTTTATATAAAAAGAGAGTGTGAGAGAGAAATTGGGTTAAACGTCCACTCGACACAAACTAGGTCATTTCGGGACTAACATATGATTCAATTTTATTTCAATAATTAGCAGTTGGAGGAAACCGGAGGACCCGGAGAAAATCCATGAGGTTGGACAGGCGACCCTACTCCTTATCACGTACAACCGGGGAATCGAAACCACGTCAGTTGACTCAATGACAGACCGTATGATACAGCGCGCACGTGCTAACCATTCGTCCATATAACTCCCCTAGTTTATATAAACCAGCCACGTTGCGGTCTTTGTTAAAGATACATTATGGGAGATAAGATAAAGAGCTGGCAGTTCTCGCTATAATAGTTAAAAACTAGATACTGTAAATGGAATTTGCTAAAAATTTCAGTCAAATTGTTCCACTCTGAACCGAGATTTTAGCGATTGATTTTTCGGCCTAGCCTCGACCATCATTACTAAAGTCGGAATGATAAAAAACATAGTCTCGGTTATCAATTTCATGATTAAATGATGAATGAAAGTTGAGTAGGAAATTGGACCCTAATCCAGTAAATATCACAGGCTAGCGATGACATGGTCTAGATAAATTAATTAATGTCTAATTAATAATTTAGATAACATTTGAAGAGCCCCGGGAAAGAACGATCTAAGTCACTTTTTCAATGAACCCCAGTTAATGGCGCCATCCGGTAACAAATTGTAGAAGCTTTCTGTGGAACAATCTATTTCAGATAAAAACGTTCGGCGTCACATCGAACCAAGGCTCTTCTGAAATGGCCTTTATTTAACCTAAATTTGCCTGAAAAGTTGAAGTCAGTTGTATTTTGAAGTTGTTATTAAATGTGGTTGAACGTCCTACTGCTCTGCTCCGAGTGGGCTAATGAAGAAAAGCATAACGCGATAGAGTGTACAATGAGGCACTACGGCTTACACATATTTCGAATACTAACTTTCAATGGATCTTTTACGTGCACGCAAATATGTTCACAGGACCGTGGAGGTTTCGTACAATACAAACAAATAGACACCTTCCTTATTACGCCCTCCGTCCTGCACGCTCTAATTTGTTAAGTAGCAATACTGTTATCAGTTTATAAAAAACCAACAACATCAAGAGTTTCTGAAAGTAGTAATAAATGTTATTGATCAAAAAAAACCCCAAAACATGATCAATGTTTGCACCGAGTTAAAATATACCATACCATGGTTATCTAAACTTGTTGAATCTTACAAAACCTCAACAGTTTTCAAGCACTATATATTTTTCAAGCACTTTAAGCACTATATATTTTTCAAGCACTATACATTTGAAAATGTTAATTTTTAAATTGGTAGCCTAACAAAATATAATGTTTAAACATATATTATGCAAGAGCTAAATCTGCCTATTGCAGGTCTTTCTTTAGGCCTGAAATGTTATCTAGACTATTAATTAGACATTAATTAACTTATCCAGACCATAATCAATTATCGATGTCATCTTATGTGTCGAATTTTCACTGGCTTTGAATCCAATCTGCTGCTCAACGCTTGTTGATGATCAAATCCAAAACTGGATAATCGAGACTATTTTTTTTTTTTATCGTACCGACTTTAGTAATGATGATCGAGGCTGGATTTAAAATTCAAAAGCTAATATATCGGTTGTGAGTGGAGTAATTTGATTGAAATTTTCAACATATTCTATTTACATTATCTATTTTTTAAAATTATAGCGAGAACATCCAACTCTTTATCTAATCTCCCATAATTCCCCTTTAAATGACGTCATAGGGAAATAAACAAAAGGTGTTAATCAAGAAGATTTTAAAAACTATTAGAAGTTCTAAATCAATATACATTTTCAACAATTAGTATGAATACAATTAGTATGGAGGTCGGGTTTTTGATCCCTGCATTGGCGGAGAAAGTTCATCCAGATTCCCCCTTGTCAGTGATGCAGGACGGAGGGCCTGACAAGGACAGCTGTCTAGTCGTTCGGATGGGACAAAAAACCGAGGTCCCGTGTACACATTGGCGTGCACGTAAAAGATCCCTTGACAGTTGGAATTCGATATAAGAGTAGGCCGTAGTGCCGCTCTCCGGGCAAAATTTCCCTCATAGCACACTGTATGGCGTATTAGCCCAGTATAGGAGCAGAACAGTAGGACGTTAAACCCCATTTCATTTCATTTATTTTATTCTGGCTAGTATAGACTTTAAATAACCAAAGGCAGAATTGTTTAACTTTTAATGCACCTTGCGGCGATTGGGGATCGCTTTAGTTAAAATAGTATTTTGAATTTCCTCGGTTTTTGTTGTTGTTTATTACAGATTTAACGTCCAGTACAATAAATGTGAACGAGAAAGTTCTAGTCTCGTCGTTTCTAGACTAGTCGTTCGGATGGCGCGAAAAACCGAGTTCCTGTGTATACATTTTAGTTCAAAATAAGTGTAGGCGTTAGTGCCGCATTCCAGGCAAGATGCCCTCATAGAACAATACCCGTCTTAATTAGCACAGTCGGTAAGAAATTTAAGACGTTCAACCAAACTTCATTTCATTTCCGGTTACCTGTTTATTTTGTATGATTTTAAACCGGATGCTGTTTAAATACAATTATCGCTAATTAACCGGTCTTTAAGTAGTTTGGGCAGGTGGGTATAGTTTTAAAGTGGCTCACCCCTCTGTCAGTTATCTCCGACTGGGCTGATGAAGACGGGTATACATACGCCACGTAGAGTGCTATGAGTGAAATGTTGCCGGGACATCGGTGCTACCGCCCACGGGGGGTTGGATGGCTGAATGGTTAGCGTGCGCTCGCTGTATCATAAAGTCTGTCATTGAGTCGACTGGCGTGGTTTCGTTCCCCGGTTGTACGTGACAAGGAGTAGGGTCGCCTGTCCAACCTCGTGGGTTTTCTCCGGGTCCTCCGGTTTCCTCCCACTGCTAAAGACCCCTACGCGCAAGCGAATTATTGAATAAAATTAAACCATATGTTAGTCCCGAAATGACCTAGTTTGTGTCGAGTGGACGTTAAACCCCATTTCTCTCTCTCTCTCTCTCTCTCGCTACCGCCCACTATTATATCAAATTCTAACTGCCAAGGGTTATTCTATAGAATAATGGCCAATTGAATGCGAAAGAGGTAGAGTTAAAGTCTCAGCAAAATACTCCAGTTATTTTGGTACTAACATATGGTTAGTTTTCATTTACTATAAGTATCCTGGACTGGTGGCGATATTTTTAAAGTGACTCTCTCAGTTAAAAATATCGCGAAAAGAATAGAGTTTAACGTTCCGTCGACATATTTTACAGGTGTAAATTCTCTCATCGGATATAACAGACTTCGAATGATTCTTCAATTCTTTTATATACCGGAACATAAATATCGTCATACAGTACTGACAGGCCAGTTACCGCACTTAGTCTAACTAGTGACTTCCTTCAATGTACAAATTTTGTTATATTTAAGGAAAATCAGATACTAGGATAAAAGCAAACGTTGTAATTAAAACTGACATGTCGATAGATGAACAATGCATAAAGGGTTGAACAATATAATAAATCAACAAAAAACAATAGATGGGATTAACGTCGTTACCTT